CACATTCAATATTCCTACCAGAAGCTCCACTTGTATGTCACTGATCACAAATTCTTCTTTTATGAACAATACTGCTCCGGCCATCACTCCCGTTTCTGAAAATTGATGTTACTGATCGTGTTAATAAATAAACTTAATAATAAAACAAAATTAACACTTAGTGACCGATCTTGTTCTTCTATAACACCCTTGAATCTACTTCCAAATACCACACTTGAACATTTAAAATCCAAAAGTGAAGAACCATAGTTATTACATTAGCAATTGTATGTGATGAGATGAGAATAAGGCACTCACCATAACCAAATGTACCAGAGATGATAGAAGAAGCCAGCACACAAGCACAAGCATAATTGTTGAAGCCATGACTATCCCCATTTTCACCATTACCATTTTCCTTTGGCAGTTGGCACTGTCCATTTTCTTCCTTTTCGGTCATTTTTTAATTGTGCTTGTGTGATCAGAAAATAATTCAACTGTGATGATCATTATATAGGGCTCAATACATTGAACCAGTTATATGCAATTGTTGCTTCACTATCAGAAAAAAAAAACACTATGATAAATAGTATTTTATTGTTTTCATTTGCGTGTAAATGAAAACCAAGTTTTTTAACCCTGCCTATTTTTAATACCCTGCAGAACGACTCTTCAACGTTATCAGAAGCATTGCAATCTTAATGAATGCGTCCTTTGTTTGGAAAATAAACTACTAGTATGCATCTAGTAAATTTTGTAAGAGAAAATATATTTTGATTTATGGGATAAAAAAACATTACTTCTTACGGAACGTCACTTTATTATTATTTATTATTTTATATTTAGAATATCAAAATATGAAAGATTTTAAAATAAATAAAAGAAGTATAAATAAAAAAAATGTATCATAAAAATAATTTAATTCAATAAAATTAAGGTTTGTATTTTCTGAAATATTATCCATCATTTGAATAAAGTCACGTAAAAGAACAAATTTAATCGATAATGTGGCGAGACAAAAAGTAACTTGTGAATTAGAGTAAAAGTTATAGATATTAAACAAATCAAATAATTAGAAGAGTGAATAAAGAATTGTGCAGTAAAATAAAAGTTGTTCAAAATAAAATGAAACTAAGGACTTGGAAATAAATATTTAAATTACTTAATAAATTTAAAATATTTCAATAATTTAAAATTGAGACGATTTTAGGATAAAACAAATACAGGTTATCGTGCCTCTTTTTAGATTAAAAAGGTATTACACATATTCACACCTTCGCCAATCAATGTGGATATTCCGTTACACTCAGACTGAGTTCAAACAATTTTATAAGAGTTTGTCTTCCTAAAAATAGAAATCGTTTATCATATTTTCTAATTACTTTGAATTATTTACATTTTTGTAACTTTCATTTCTACGTGTTTGTTAGAATTTGTGAATTGGCGATAAGTGTGAATAGAAATATCAAGTCAAGTTACTTACGTTTTGATTTTTTGTTTTTTTTTTAGTTTGTTATAGTTTAAAATTGTTAATTGAATTAAAAATAATTGTGTAACATATAAACAATCACTAGTTTATCAACATTATGTTGATCCAAACGAAACTAAATTGAAATATTTTGAAATAAAAATTAAGTGTGAATTTTATAAAGAAATAAAAAATTAAAAAAAATCTCTCTAAATAAAACAAATTAATCATCAAAAAATATACTTCACACTTACAAAAATTTAAAAACATGGAATCCATAAGTACTTTCAAGCAAAATAGTAATGCATTATATTATTTTATTATTATTTTATTATGATTTTGCCTCTTGATTGAAGTGAATAACAAAATATTACTGCCACTTGGAGAAATAGAACGTAACTAAATAGTAGATATACTGCAACCATTTACGAAAGGTTGTGGGCCTGCAGAGTGATCGTCAGATTGTCTATGAAGTTACTTTCAGCCGAATAAATCAAATACAACGGCCACGATCGCTGGATTTTGCCGTGTTTATAGCCCTACTTACGAGTTTTTTTTATACAAAACCTAACAGTGACAATTAACTTACTCTAACACAGTGACATTAATTCAATCTTAAATTTGTACTCTCTTGTATATTATAAAATAGTTTATTTTTAATTTAAGTGAGACTTCTAATAATAACTATATATATGATTTTATTTCAGTAAGAATTGAGATCGAGACACTAACCTTCAACTGATGCACTTCGCTTGTCTGCTTTCAGTTTGAACCGATCGGTCACCTTCAATATTGTCCGCTCGGTGAACTTCAATCTTGACCGCTCAGTTGTAAAAGAGGGGAGGTACCTGCAAAAGACACTCTGACGCTCAAGTTAGGAGCGGTTTTATGAACTGTTTGTTACAGTTAAATATTGAAGTCCTAATAGGACGTAAATAGGACGTATTGTAGTATGAGTTGAATCTGTCTTACGGTAGCCGTTATCACATTCATTGTGCGTTAACTCTGCTCAATAGTTGTCGAGACCGAACGGATGTGAAGCTGGTCGAGACTGATCGGTAGCCTATGAGCCCATAGTAACAGATTTCAATATAAATCTCATATTAATTAGAGATAAACTAAAGTTAAAATATATAGATATAAATCTATTTTGTGATACTCAGTTAAATTTAAAGTTTATTTCTTAAAATAGATTAAGAAGAAGAATAAAATGAAAATATAAATTATTTGTTTTATGTACTGAATATTTTAAAGGAAATTTATACGAGAGATTTTAATTAAGCTAATCTCATATTATAAATTTTCTTATTTATATTAACTTTTTATTTTTGTAAAACTTAAATTTATACATAAATTGTAAAAAATAAAAACTAAACTTGAACAATATAATTAAAATGAAAGAAACACTAAAGAGCTCTCAAATTCTATTTCAATCATTTTATTCAACAAATACTTGAAGAAAAAATATTTGTTGACATTTAACGAAATCAATGTCATCACAAAGCCTAAAAGAAAAAATACTTGGACATTTTTCATGGCACAAACTCTCGACATCTTCCTTTTCCTTTAACATGTGATGAATTGGAACCTATGTTGTGTCTCCTGCAAAGGTATTATGTGCGTATTGTTAAACGCCTACCAACGACGGTGCCTCAATTATTGATTCAATGAGAAAACATTGAAGCTAAGTTTGCAGTTACTTGTATACTATAAAGTTTAGTTGAGCTATACTTATGTAAGATATATGTATCTTGAACTTAAAATTATAATGAGTGATTTAATATCGACACAATAGTAAGTGAAACATTAAATTCAATCAATAATAAATTTCATTAGACATATAAAGAATATAAAGAACTAAACTTTAATCTTATCTCAATCGGGCGTGTTAATGTCACTACCGTTGATAGCTTCCTTATTGACTTTTGGCAGAGGAAGTATAGTCCAAATGGTCGCGACCCACTTCTTCGGCGAGCTCGTATTGGGCTCTTATCCAACTCAACCTCACATCTGTTTCCTTCAAGTAGAGGTTTCGTTTGTCTTCACTGAGTCATTTCACAGTGTCACTTATGTTGAAAGATGGATTACAGCTCTTATACTAAATCACTCAATTTATAACTCTATTCAGTTGGTTGAATCTATATGTGATTTGTATTCGCCCACAAACTTACCTAAAAAATGTTCATAGGACATGCACACCAACTTGCTTGCTCATTCATCAACGTCAAACACTCAAGTTTCTGCTTTCTATATGAAAAGTGTTTATAGGCAACGTCATTGTTATTGTAATTTTAAATACGTGTCTTTCAATCTTTCACTATGTTAAGGATTTGTTGTTTTCATGTCTCTGTTTTATGTGACTATGTTACAAAATACAAATTTAAGAAAGTTGAATTGATAAATACACATAAATAATATGAACAAAATTAGAAGTAACATTGGTTTAGTGACAAAAGGTAACAGATTATTGGTAGGAGACAGTACCGAACTTGATCCAACTAATTTTCTAAATTATGGTCCAACTGAACCAAGGAATATAACTACCACCACCGAGCCTTTTCATTCGAGGTGGAGTTGGCTACACAGATCAAATACTGATGTATTCTTCTATTGGGAATCGTATTTCTGTGTTCTACTTTTTGTAACATGTCTAACAGAGTCTTTATGATAGAGTCGTCCACTTCTTCGTTTCAGTGCTATTAAGCACTTCTTCACCCCAAAAAAGGGTACTTAAGTTAAGCAATTATCTCTAGAATACTCTTTGGAGGAACTTATAGGATTCCTGCAGCATCATGCAATATTAGTATGGAGACTAGGTAGATACTGCAAAAAGTTCACTGCTATATCCTCACGGTGGTCTGGAAAGTTTGGCATGAGAACAAACAAGCTCTACTATTGTTTGGCAAGAATTTGAAAGTTCAGGTTCTGATGTGAATGTTTGTGGTGAACTTGTTGGCACTGAAAGTCTTCCCAAGTAGTTATCTAAAATTATTTCTTTGGAAGCTCAAAGGGGCTACGCTGGTTTCCTGACGAAACAAAATTCTTCATGGCAGTTGGTTATTTGGAATACTAAACCTGGTTTAGGTTGGGATAGGTTAGAATGCCACGCCAGCAATTTTTTCCACTAATGCCAGACCATGAAAATTCATCTCAGGGATATGGATCTTTCTCTCTCCCCATTTTGTTTACCACTCTTAGTCATGGTGGAGAAATTACATGGAGAAAATGTCTACCAATTGGCATTCTCTTATAGTGAATTTAACAAAACTTCTATATTTCTGTCTTCTTGTTTGGATGACTGTTATCATATGCTGCTTCTAAATGCCAAGGATTGAACGAAATTGCAATTTCTAAAACTATGTTTTCAGAGGGAGATTCTAAAATTGCTGTGGAAGATACTCATAGTCTTGATGATCCGAATAATGAAGTTGCATATGATATTCATGGTTATTATGTGTTGAAATCATTCAGATGATTCATTCAGGTTGTTTTTATCTTCCCCACCCCACCCCCAAAAGGAAAAGAGAACATTGTTTTCGCTCTATAGGAGGTCAAGAACTTCTAAAAAGTAGTACATCCACTCACTATATATGTATTGGTTTTTGCAGAGATTTTGTAATTGACAGTGAACCCAGCCAAGCTGAAGAAGGCTGAGATAATTGAGGCTGCAAGTTGAAAACGCAGTAGGGAGGTCTCTAACAATGAACATACCAAGGTAATTTGATTTTCTTTTAAAGAGGTACACTGTAAAAGTTTTATCTTAATCTCATGTCTTTTGCTAAGCCTTTTGATGAAAGTTCATAATGTTTCAACTAATTTCACTCTACTTATTATGGTTGAAAATCTACATTGAATAGATAAGTTCGCTTTACCTGACAATTCACAAATTCTCAGATTCGTCCCGAACTATTTACAACAGATTGAGTACATCATGAAAAACTGAAGATTCTCAGAACCACCCCGTATTCACAGTGTTCAAAACCGTCTAACAATAAGCTGCATTTGAACAGTGACGGTAGGATGAATCTTACTGTGTGATAACAGGGTAAATTTTGAAAAGGAATTCAGCCACTTTTTCTGTCTGCCTCTGATGAACACGTTTGTCCATCCATGATGATTGCTATTTGATTTTACAGATGTTTATTATCATATCAAGAGGCCCCAAGATCAGCTGGGTCCCCAACCATTACAAAAGGTAAAAGAAAAAGTGGTAACTCGTGAACGACTATTATTTGGTTTAACTTTATGGTTCAATCGGGTTCCTGATTTCTTATTGGGATTTCTTGTTTAGTTTCAGCATTGTAAAAGAACTTATGATTGCTACTAGAATGGGACCAAAAAGTGATCTTATCTTTCATCACTATGCCTTTGACGTTTGAGCCACTTTCAGGACACACCAGCCTCTATCAACTAGTAAACTGCAGAAACTAGTATCATGTTTTAAAAAACAATAATCAAGCTAGTATATGTGAAGTTTAGTGTACATTGTTGGAAACATAAGCCTTTTTTGATACTGGTATAAGTTGCTTTAGAAAAAGAAAAGCTAATTGATCTGAAATGAATCAAAAGGTGAAACCAAATCACCATCATTTGACTTATTGATGACCACTGCAAGTGCAAAGAAAGAGTGTGCCTTACTGTTTGTTTGTTTGTTCGTTTGTTAATGCTCCATAGACATTACACTCGTGAAAGAATTGTCATTTCTTTGAAAATAAAATGCTCCATCAGCTGAAACTGAATTTTCATGTGTCTAATCAAACGTGAAAGCTATTTGCATCCCTTGCTTTCTCTTCCCTGGCCTAAAACAAGGGGCAATAGGTGGTAGAAAATGAAGAAAAAAAAAACATCCGATTGGTTGAATTTGGCTTCAGTGTGAAGAATATACTGCTGGTGGTAGAGCTACCAAGAGGAGAAGATGATTACAAAGGGGGGCCAGTGTTGAAAGTCGAAACTATGACCACCTAAGTCGCCATCGCATCTCACAAAGGAAAGTGATGGAATTCTCCTTTTTCAAATGTTTTATGTCACATATGCGAGCTTCTAAAAAGGGTGGTTACATAATCCACCGTCCAAATTCTCCACTCTTATCCATATCTATCTATATAGAAGGGAACTTATAATGTAATGAAGTGGTCATTGACGTGCTATCATTTTTTTCCCAGCTCCTTCTCAACACGCAGCCACCAAAACTAGAACAAAACAAAAACTATTGAGGTTTTAAGTTTTTTTTTTTTCTTTGTAAAGTTACTCATGTTTTATTAATTATTTTCTCACACATTGTTTCAGTTAAAAGAGATCGATGATCGATCGTCCTACCTTTAAGTGTTCCTCGATTGCCCACGCAAGAAAGTAATATTTGCCTATCAATTGTTGATATTAATTGTTGATACGCATAAGACACTCTAACGTTATGCTTCTCAGAAAAGTTTTAACTGAATTTAGGAGAAAAGTGTCTTTATATATTTATAGAACTTACTGTTATAAAACCTATTAATTAACCACTAATATGTGTTACTGTTTTTGTTAACTGTCAATTAATATCAATTACACTTTTAATTAGTCTTCACCGTCCTAAAACGAATCGATCGGATGTCATCAGTTACGTCGACAGTGTATTCCGTGTAATACACATATTTTTATTTCAAGCAAATTTGATATTTTGAGAACATTTCTTGTTCTTAACCTGGTGTTTGCTGATTTAAGTCTAATGGTGATTTTGTACAGTGATCTATGTTTTGGATTCTGCTTGGAATTTAGAATTTTGGCTAGTCACAGCGCGTCACTTTTTTTGGCGAATCAATGAACTTCTGGCGTCCTAAATTTTGATTCTTTTCTTCGGCAGAAAGATTATGGACACCATTTGTACACCGTATAGTATTTAGTCATATCAACCTTATGCTTTTCAATTTGGGTTGAAGTTGTAAAATGAAATAATAGTGTTTGGTTGACACTTAAATACTATAATTGTCGGAATACTTTGTATCCCATAAATAACAAACCTGGTGTGGTCAGAAATTTGGCCGTATTTAATGGTGAGAAGGAAAAGGTTGTAATTGTCCATGGAGTGGTGGCTGAAAGAAGCATTACAATTAATGGCATGTGACACTAAATGAGGAGCTTAAATTTCTCCAAATAAGCAAAGCAAAAGTTGAAAATAAAAAAGACAAGAAAGTATTATTCGTGCTGCTAAAAATAGTTTGATGCCAGAATTCGAACCCAGCACATAGGGTAAAAGGACTTTATTGACATGATTTGATTTGGATATTTATTTTCTCTGTAAACGTATCCGATCGGCTTAAATGTGCAATTGAATGTGCATATAGCTATGAATGAATTGTTGAGTGCTGACTCAAAAGACAGTGATTGGTCCTCTCTTTTGCTGTGGAGAGAGAAAGTTGAAAACCCAAAAAACAAATGAAGAAGGGTCCCATATTTATGCCAAAAATAATGCATTGTTTGAATTGGAAAAGAAAATGCTATCCAAGTCAATGTTAACCATGATGGACACAGTGCAGGCAGACAAAACAAAAATATTAAATAAATTCAAAAACAAAATACAACAACACGTGCCGCCCTTTTCCTTCTATTCCAATTTTTCAACTCCTTATCGTTAATCTTGCTTAGTTTAAACTCATGAATATTCATTAATATTCCTAATCTTTTTGCTTTCGTCTTAATCACTGTGCCTAATTTAGTGATAATTATTTTACTTTAAATTTGAAGCGCGTCACACTGCAACCGCTCGCACTTCGACAAGTCCAAATACTATGCATTTGGTGTTAATGTAAAACTTGAAAAGACCATTAAACCGATTTGAAAGCGCTACAACCAAACCCGTCTAATCCCCAATTAATCAATACTAACAATCATAGTTAATACTATAATAAAATATAAGTATGTGTAAAATTTATCAAATAATATGCTATCGTTTCAATTGGACCGTGACTAAAGTGACCAGATCTATAAAGTTCAATTAAACCGCAAAATAGTCGAAACAAAAATCGGTTTAAAAATTTATCAATACTAAATTGGATTATTCAAGTCATTTTAAATGTTTTATTTATTTTTTAAATAATGAACATTTGTAAACCACTGTTGCACTTGCACACAGTAGATGACATAAGACACACTGTTGTACATCTTCTTCATAATATCAATGGTAGATGCCAGACTTCTCTTTCACAATTCAACTAACAAACTTGCAAGCTATATTATTATATTAAAAATTAAAAATAAAATACGAGACTAGTAAAATTTATCTTTATTACATAAAACATATTTTTATTTTACAAAAATAAAAATATATAGTTCAATCTTTGCCATATTTAATGATTTTATTTAAAAATTAAAACTTAAGACAATTTAAATATATTTTCATATTTTTATTTTTTAAAATGTCTTTTAAAAGTAAAATTGACAAAATCTCATCGAAACCATAAATAACTCGTATAATCAAAGAACATATCTGGAATAAATACAAAAATTAATATTATTTTCTTTTTCATGAAAATGTTTTCGAATTATAGTAATTAAATTTATTGGGAATTTTTTTTATCCTTTTTTTATATTTTATAGCTTTGAATAAGTTTTTACTGGTAATCAAATCTGTGCTTATGAATGTGGAAAAAACAAAGCACGGTAGTCCGTCTTTTCACATTTCACAACGCTGTTTTATTTTAATCAATTACAATGTAATAGTTGTATTAGTTTTTATTTTAAATATATTAAATAAAATATTATTATTTATTTTATGTCACTTTATTTATTAAATCTACAATAATATATAACATATGTAAATCGAATAACTAACGTGTATAAATTTAGGTTTAATTGATTATTTAGTTTTTGTTTTTCTCTAAAAATGTTAAACTGGTCTTTGAATTTGCTTAATTTTAATTTTGATGTAATTTATTTTTTATTTATAAAAAATTAACATTTTCGTTAGATTTTTTTAAACAAATCAATATTTTTTAATTAAAATTGAAATTATAATAAAAAATATTTATTTTATTGGTATAACTAACATAATTATAATGTTAATAGTACTGAAAAATCATTTATTCATTTCAAGAAATTTAATGAAAATAATTAAATTGTATTAAAATTTTATAAATCAGAATTAAATTACATTAATTTTCACAAATTAAAACCAAAACTAAAAAAATTCAAAAACCAACTTAATATTTTTAAATGAAAATAAAAATATAATAATTCATTAAACATTAAATTTATATGAATATACCTCCATTTAATATTAAGTACAATAATAAAATATAAATTAAAAAAATTACGCGTTGATAGTTTTTCTTTATTACTTTTTAGTTAAAATTTTAAGAGATTATTGAAGATAAAATAAAAGGCTGTTTAAATTCAATATAGAAATTGTTTCAAATGTTATGTATATTTTTGTTGTTTATAAAGGCAATATCAAAATTAATAATAAAAAGATACTACCTTGAAGTATTTTCTAATTAGATATGTTTATTATAGTGTTGTCAATGTGTTGTAACCCATGAGTCAACTCGGTTGATCACATGTTTGAATCGGATTGGGTTTGAAAAAAATGTAATTTTTTATGTGGGTTAGTTTTTAACTCGGTTCACTTAGAATCTGTTTCACCGAGTTGAACCCGTGGTGACCGGGTTGGCTCGTCAATCCACCTAATTTAATTTAATTATTTATTATTTTGTGTTTTTATATTATTAGTTAACATTTTTTTTATTATATTGTAGATGGTGATAAAGAAGAAAGAGAAAAATATTATAGAATTATCTATTCAATACTCTAATATTATAAATGGACAAGTGATACAAAAGTTATCACTATTAAAAACTTATTTATTCGTCTTTTGTATATGTTTTTGGATTACGCTTGGATTGATATTTTTATTTATTTTGAATTATAAAATGTTATAATTAAATGAACTAGTGAGTTAACCCATTTAACCCACTATTAATAAATGAACTGAATTAAATTGACTCACTATGTTACCAATCCGTAATTAACCAGCCGAGTCAAACCGAATTACGCGTTTCTTTACCGCTCTAGTTTATTATTAGCATCATATCTAAATTACTCTTAAAGTAAGATGAGTTGACCAAACAATTAACCTTTTTCGTTTCGGCGTACATGAATCATGAAGAATTTTGTTTGAGAATCATGGTTTTGAAATTTAACATCACACACAAACATAATGAGACATTAAACTGTAAACTAACATCACGCCATGAGTGATCATCATATCGCTGGTTGCAAAAGATGAAATGTGTATTTTGTATTCACATGCAAATCTGACCAAAGTCTGACACTACTGTTATGTGCAAACCTAATAAAAATACATTGTTGAAAAAAACTATACCACTCTTTTATATTAAAAAATATTATAAGAAAAAGTTGTGAGAGACTTCGTATAATTTAAATTATATTTTATAAATACAAATAG